TACAGTTTTTGGTTTCATTATTCAAATGTTATTTTTAAGTATATTACATTATTTTGTGTTTTTGTTGTGTGTTTTCTTTTTAAGAATTTTTGTTGTGCTTTATCATTTTTTCTCTTTCTGATATTGTTGTTATTGTTTTTTTGTTCTAATATTCATGTTGTTATAGTTGATTTTTTCTTTCTAATGTTGCTGTTTTGTGTGTTATTGTTTTTTCTTTCATTGCTTTTTCTCTCTAATATTCATGTTGTTATAGTTGTTGATGTTTTTCTTTCTAATGTTGTTGTTGTGTGTTATTGTTTTTTCTCTAATATTCATGTTGTTATAGTTGTTGTGTTATAATTTTTCTCTCTAATATTCATGTTGTTATAGTTGATTTTTTCTTTCTAATGTTGTTGTTGTGTGTTATTGTTTTTTCTCTAATATTCATGTTGTTATAGTTGTTGTGTTATAATTTTTCTCTCTAATATTCATGTTGTTATAGTTGATTTTTTCTTTCTAATGTTGTTGTTGTGTGTTATTGTTTTTTCTCTAATATTCATGTTGTTATAGTTGTTGTGTTATAATTTTTCTCTCTAATATTCATGTTGTTATAGTTGATTTTTTCTTTCTAATGTTGTTGTTGTGTGTTATTGTTTTTTCTTTCATTGTTTTTTCTCTCTAATATTCATGTTGTTATAGTTGTTGTGTTATAATTTTTTTCTAATATTCAGGTTGTTGTTACAGTTGATTTATTTTTTTTCTCTTTAATATTCATGTTGTTATAGTTGTTGTGTTCTAATTTTTTTCTAACATTCAGGTTGTTGTTATAGTTTATTTATTTTTTATTTCTCTCTAATATTCATGTTATTATAGTTGTTGTGTTATAATTTTTTCTTTCTAATATTCATGTTGTTATAGTTGTTGTGTTATAATTTTTTCTTTCTAATATTCATGTTGTTATAGTTGTTGTGTTATAATTTTTTATTTCTAATATTCATGTTGTTATAGTTGTTGTGTTATAATTTTTTCTTTCTAATATTCATGTTGTTATAGTTGTTGTGTTATAATTTTTTCTTTCTAATATTCATGTTGTTATAGTTGTTGTGTTATAATTTTTTATTTCTAATATTCATGTTGTTATAGTTGTTGTGTTATAATTTTTTCTTTCTAATATTCATGTTGTTATAGTTGTTGTGTTATAATTTTTTATTTCTAATATTCATGTTGTTATAGTTGTTGTGTTATAATTTTTTCTTTCTAATATTCATGTTGTTATAGTTGTTGTGTTATAATTTTTTATTTCTAATATTCATGTTGTTATAGTTGTTGTGTTATAATTTTTCTCTCTAATATTCATGTTGTTATAGTTGTTGTGTTATAATTTTTTATTTCTAATATTTATGTTGTTATAGTTGTTGTGTTATAATTTTTTCTTTCCAATATTCATGTTGTTATAGTTGTGTTATATTTTTTCTCTCTAATATTCATGTTGTTGTTATAGTTGATTTATTTTTTTTTCTTTCTAATATTCATGTTGTTGTTATAGTTGATTTATTTTTTTTTCTTTCTAATATTCATGTTGTTGTTATAGTTGATTTATTTTTTTCTTTCTAATATTTTTGTGTTGTTGTTGTGTTAGTGTTTTTTCTTTTTAATAGTATTTTTGTTGTTGCTGTCTGTTATTCTTTAGTCTTTCATAGTTTTTCCCCCATCTTCTTTCATGATGACGTATGAGCAAAAACAAAGCATAAACAATGTTCAGTTTTTTTGCGCAGAGCGTTTGTTTGGCTACATTAGACCTCAGTGCGTCTTCAGGAGCGAAGAGATCGATTCGGACTTGTCTTAAATGTGTTTATTTTGAATTCTTAAAAACCTTTCACCATTCACTGCCATTATCAAAATCGCCAAAGACCACAAATTAAGCTAAAAATCTTCTAATGTAGATTAAAAAAAAGTCACCTACATCTTCAACGGCTTGAGTTAAAGTAAACTAACAAGAGGTCTACATTTCTGGGTGAACTACCCCTTTAACTTGATGCTTCTGGCCGGTCTGTTGTTTAAGATTTGATGCCGATGCATTCATATAAATTGCATTAAATGATAAACAATACTGCTTTCAAACAAGACGTTTGCAGAGCGAAATCACACAAATGAAAACAAGAACACATCCTGTGCGATTGGCCACCGTAACTCTGAATATGACATTCTAGAATAAATAAACAATATGTCAAAAGGAGATATGTTTATAACAAAAAACGTTTCATAAATAATAATAACAATAACACCGTGACATAATGAGACACAATGCAATTAAAGTCTTCCATTATTAGCAGTGCAAAAGAGGGTGAAAGTACTCCCAAAAAAATAAAATGATTTAACATTTCCCCATTGCTCGTCATTTATCGCTGTTTTACGTTTATTTACAGCTTCGCATTGCTTTATTGGATCTTGACATTGAAAAGTGACATCTAATAATATTACTAATTTCAAAGCAATGTATTTTAGCAGAAATAATAGATTAATAATTATTAATTAATTAATTAATACGCGAGACCTCCAGTAAAGAAACCTCTTCAGGTCAATAAAAAAAGAAGCAACAAAAAGCGGTAAACATGAAATCTTTGCTTATGAAATCAACTTATGACGAGTATGTTAATATATACAAATAACCCAACATCAAATATGAGTTCACAAATAAGCCGAATATATAACCATTGCGAATGAAACCGGAAATCTCGCACATTATATGCATAATTCACCCTAATAATTAATAAGTAAAGTTAATTTACTTACCCTCGGGCCATTCAATATGTAGGTGATTATTGTTTGGTTTTAAGTATAACATTAGAGAAGATATTTAGAGGAAAGTGTGGTATCTATAACGGAGGTCGATTTGCGCAATCACTTTGAGATTAAAAACTAAATATATGCATGCAAATCATAATTAAATCACACTGTAAATCACATGCTGTCCTACATGTTGTCCTGACACAAACCGATTAAGTTAACTTAATCGTTCTTACAAATTTAAGTGGACTGAACATAAAAATTTTATTTCATTGGCCATTGTGTATGAGTGTGTGTGAATGAGTGTGTATGGATGTTTCCTGAAATGAGTTGCAGCTATGTAAAACATGTAGTGGAATAGTTGGTGGTTCATTCCGCTGTGGCAACCCCTGATAAATATAGGAACTAAGCCGAAGGAAAATAAATTAATGAACGAATATTTGGAAATTCAAAGCTCAATATACATGTGTGCATCATCATGGCGCAGTGGCTAGCACAATCGCCTCACAGCAAGAAGGCCGCTGGTTCGAGCCCAGGCTGGGTCAGTTGGCATTTGCCAACTTTCAGTTTGCATTTTCTCCCTGTGTTGGTGTGGGTTTCCTCCGGGTGCTCGGGTTTTCCCCACAGTCCAAACACATGCGCTATTGGGGAATTAAATTAGCTAAATTGGCCGTAGTGTATGGATGTTTCCCAGTGATGGGTTGCAGCTGGAAGGACATCCGCAGCGTAAGGTTCATTCCGCTGAGGCGACCCCAGACAAATAAATGGACTAAGCTGAAAAGAAAATTAATTAACGAATGAATATACATGCTCAGAAGCATTAGCTGTGGAATAAAGCTAAAAAATCCTGTCCTACACACTGTCCCGACATAAACCGATTAAGTAACTTAATCGTTTTTACAAATTTAAGAGGATTGAACATGAAAAACGTGATTAAATTGGCCATAGTGTATGATTGTGCGTGTGAATGAGTGTGTATGGATGTTTCACAGTACTGGGTTGCAGCTGGAGGGGCATCCACATATGCTGAAATAGTCGACAGTTCATTCTGCTGTGGCGACTCCTGATAACTAAAGTGACTAAGCCAAAAGAAAATGAATGATTATTCGGAAATGCAAAGCTTATATACATGCTCAGAAGAATAAGCCGTGGATTGAAGCTAATAATATTGTAAATAATGTTTTCGGTTTGTTACACAGAACGATTGTTTGACTTCATAAGAGCAAATCAGGAGCCACGAGGATTGCTTATGTTTACCTTGTATGCTTCTTTTTTAATCTCAAAGTGATGGCACCTACTAACTTTCATTATACAGATACCAGAGGACGATGTTTTCAGACCGAAAATCTTCACCGAAAGAAGTCACCTACATCTCGGATGGCCTGTGGGTGAGCAATTTAACAGGAGATTTCGATTTATTGGTGAACTATCCCTTTAAGATTACAAACAGCTTTGAAAATGATTTTACAAGTTACCTGGATTGAAAAGATTTGACATTTTTTAAGTTTTACCATCCACTCAGCCGATTTCCAGGTCTGGTGGGAGACGTTTTAGCTTAGCTTAGCATAGATCATTGAATCAGATTAGACCATTAGCATCTCACTCAAAAAACAAAACAAAAATAATAGTAAGAGTTGTGTTATTTTTCCTATGTAAAGTTTGACTCTTTTGTAGTGCACTAAGACAGGTAATTAAAAGCTGCTAGGCTGATGTGGCTAGGAATTAAACTCTCATTCTGGCGTAATAATCAACGAACTTTGCTGCAGTAGCATGACTACAGAAGCACATTAATATTAAGCAGCACATAAAAATAACCTTTTCCCAGTACTGCGTAAAACATATGCTGGGATAGTTGGGTTCATTCTGCTGTGGTGCCCTCTGTTAAATAAGAGACTAAGCTGAAGGAAAGTGATTGAATGAATGGAAATAATCCCCAGCTAGGTGTCTAGTTAACAGCGCTGCGTAATATACATCTTTTTAAGAGAGATGCTAATGGTCTAATCTGATTCAATGATTTATGCTAAGCTAAGCTAAAAGTGCTTCTGCCAGACCCAGAGATTGGCTGAATAAATTAAACAAATGGTAAAACACAACTGTTTAACTGTGAGGGTGAAAAAAGGTGGATAAAAGGGATTTGATTACAACTTGCTGGAACTGCACTGAGTCTTGTTATGACACGGTGTTACCCGTCTATCTTTTTATTACAGCACAAATATGTAGACTATTTTTATGAATTTTTTTTTCTTCATTTTTTTTCCAAAATAAAAATCACACCTGCTCATTAGAGACACAACCGTTTCCCAAATCACATTCGTAGTGTTTTATGGAATAACACTGAAACGGCGGGAGCATTGGAAGGCAATACACTGCAAAAATAAATAAATAAATGTTTTCTTACTTAGTTTTTGTCCCATTTTAGTCCAAATATCTACAAATTCCTAAAGCAAGAAGCCTTTCAAGACTAGCAAAAAATACTGTTTTTTTTTAAGACACAAGTCGTCCAAATTAAGTAAGTTATTTATTAAAACAAGCTAAATAATTGGGTGAATTAAACAATTAATTATAAAAAATGCAATAATAAACTTAATAATAAAATAAACTTATTTTAATCTGATAGCAATACTATTTTACTCACTCCAACGGCACATTATTATGCTTGTTTTAAGGAAAACTTCCCTTAATTTTGACACAAAACATAATTTTTAACTAGTCTAGAAAATGCTTCTCTAAGAATTCTTACATATTTGGACTTGAAACAAGCCTAAAACCTCAAGAACGATTAGTTTTTGCAGTGTACATTCTGTCTAACAGCCAAAAATACATCCGTTTTTTTTACATTTACATTCGTAAACTGTTTGAAAAGTCAACATTTTCCTTAAAATCCGCACCGCCAGCTTTCCAACAGCCCACCGTTTCCTCATTCAGCATACCACAGCACAGTGATGACGAGAGTAACACTGAGAAAAAATCCACAATGACAGTAATAATAGAGCTAACTACAAGTCTAAGTTCCTGGGTTTTGTGGCACCCCGAGGTTTGTCCGGTTTGACAGTTTTCCTGGAGTTTTGTTTGTGTGTTTTTTTTTTTATTCCAGGTTGATTCGCGGTGAGAACAACGGCACATGACGGAGGACTGAGACTCTCACCTCCTCATTCTGCTTCTGGCCAAAGGGTCTGTTGTTTTAGTTTCAATCCACTCAACATTCACTCATGTTTACTCCTCTTGTTCAAAGTAAAAACACGTTTCGCTGTCCGTTTGATTCTGGAGCGGTTCATGCAGGCACTCTCTCACATGGCGTACTTTTGCGTCCATTCTCTCGCTAGTCTGTTGTACCTGCCAGAAAAGAATGGGTAATGTTGGTTACTTTACAACTGTGGTTCATCCAATGAGATATCAATTACATTTTTAACCCAAGTGTTGGGTTTGCCTATATTTGACCCAATTCGGGTCTTTGCACTGACTTAACATGTAAATCGCTCAAGCTCGACGCTTCATCCATGTCTCATACAGTGCATCTGAAAAGTATTCATAGCGCTTCACTTTTTGCTCAATACTTTGTTGATGCACTTTTGGCAGCGATTACAGCCTCAAGTCTTTTTGTATATGATACCACAAGCTTGGCACACCTGTCCTTGGGAATCCCATTCCTCTTTGCAGTTCCTCTCAAGCTCTATCAGGTTGGATGGGAAGTGACGGTGTACAGCCATTTTCAGATCTCTCCTGTGATGCTCAATAGGATTTAGGTCTGGGCTCTGGCTGTGCCACTCAAGGAAATTCATAGAGTTGTTGTGAAGCCACTGCATTGATATTTTGGCGGTGTGCTTTGGGTCATTGTCCTGCTGGAAGATGAACCCCAGTCATGTCGCCCCAGTCTGAGGTCAAGAGCACTCTTGTGCAGGTCTTCATTCAGGATGTCTCTGTACATTGCTGCATTCATCTTTCCCTCTATCCTGACTAGTCTTCCAGTTCCTGCTGCTGAAACACATCCCCACAGCATGATACTGCCACCACCATGCTTCACTGTAGGGATGCTGTTAGCCTGGTGATAAGCGCTGCCTGCTTTTCTCCAAACGTAACGCCTGGCGTTCACTCCAAAGAGTTCAAGTTTAGTGTCATCAGAGCAGAGAGTTTAGTTTCTTATGATCTGAGAGTCCTTCAGATGCCAAATATAAGGCAGGGAGTGTCTTCCATCTGGCCACTCTACCACACAGGCCTGATTGGTGGATTGCTGCACAGATGGTTGTCCTTCTGTAAGGTTCTCCTCTCTCCACAGAAGAACACTGGAGCTCAGACAGAGTGACCATCGGGTTATTGATCACCTCCCTGACTAAGACCCTTCTCTCCCGATCACTCAGCTTAGATGGCCGGCCAGCTCAAGGAAGAGTCCTGGTTGTTTAAACATCTTCCACTTATGGATGATGGAGGCCGCTGTGCTCACTGGAACTTTCAGAGCTGCAGAAATGTTTAACCTTCCCCAGCCTTGTGCATCAAGACAATCCTGTCTCGGAGGTCTACACACAATTCCTTTGTCTTCATGCTTGGTTTGTGCTTATATTGTGCTTGGTTTGTGCTTGGGAGCTTATATAGACAGGTGTAGCCTTTTCAAATCATGTCCAATCAGCTGAATTGACCACAGGTGAACACCAATGAAGCTGAAACATCTCAAGAATGATCAGTGGAGACAGAATGTACCTGAGCTCAGTTTAGAGCTTCACGGTAAAGTCTGTGAATACTGATGTACATGTGATTCTTCAGCTTTTTTATTTTTAATAAATTTGCAACAGTTTCAAAAACTCTTTGTTCACATTGTCATTATGGGGGATTGTGTGTAGAATGTTGAGGAAATACATGAATTTAATCCATTTTGGAATTAGGCTGTAACATAAACAAATGTGAAAAAGTGAAGCGCGATCAATACTTTGGACTAGATACACTGTAGGTGCAAACATTGACAAATTTATAACAGTCATTTATCCAACTAAATTGTAATTACATTTTTCACCCAATTGTTGGGTTTGTCCATATTTGACACCATCTAATCCAACCATGTAAATACACCATGTAAATACAATCCAGAATATGCTTATGATTCTCTAATGTGCCAATATTGGATATTTTACAACTTACTGTCATTCATCCAATGATATTTTAATGACATTTAACCGAACTATTGGGCTTGTCCATATTTGACCCAAAGTTGAGCTAATACAACCCAAATATTGGCTATTTTACATATTTTAGTGGTTCATCTAATGTGATTTTAAAGTTGAAAAGATGCCGGTGTATCATTAGTTGTGGTGTTGTCAACACATTTGTTACATAATGCTGTTTTTACACTAAAACCAGACGTATCATGTGTCATAATCATGACATCCATTAAGTTTACAGAAACAGACATTCCTTTACTGTACTACTCTCACATTCACTACATTTTCCAAACGGGCGTTCAGTCCACAAACATATGATATTAAAGCATATGATACGAATGATCAAAAGGGTCACTCACTTTTCTCTGTCTGCTTTATATGTGTGTGCGATCTCGGGTACCAGCGGGTCATCTGGGTTCGGGTCACATAACAGGGAGCAGATGGACAACAAGACTAAAATATGAAGGGAGCGCATTAAAAACAATATAATACCACAACGTCCTGCTCGTGTGCTCTGCTGGAATGAGGAGTGTTTGGTTGGCATGTTAAACACACACACACATACACACACACAGATTGCTGCAGAGTGAACCAAACTAGGTCAATGCTAGAACAAAGAGTAAATCACTGCACAGGTTCTGATATCAGCCATAAATGTTGAGCTTTTACTGTACTCGAAACTGTGTCTGTCCTACAAGTGCTCAAGCCACAGAATAACATGATCAAATTATAAATTCATTTAGTTATATTCTTTTATTACTTAACTTATAACACTGAGTTTCGTGAACATGGCAACATGTAGAACATACTGACATTATATTTGATTATTTATTACTTTATTTAATTTCTTAAATTATCACATTGGTTTTCCTGAACAAGAGAACATATTTAGGCCTTATTGATCTCATTTTACATCAAAAATGCTATTTTATTATAAAAATTTATTAATAATTAGCCAAGAGTGTCGTCTGATGTTAAAAACTAGCCTAGAGCACCATCTGCTGTATACAACTAGCCAAGAGTGCCATCTGCTGTTAAAAACGATCGTAGAACAGCACAATCTGCTGATAAAAGCTAGCCTGGAGCACTGTCTGCTGTTTAAAATTGGCCTAGAGCACCATCTGCTGTTAAAAACTAGCCTAGAGCGCCATCTGCTGTTTAAAATGAGCCCAGAGCACCATCTGTTGTTTAAAAACCAGCCTAGAGTGCCATCTGCTATTTAAAACTAGCCTAGAGCAACATCTGCTGTTTAAAAACTAGCCTAGAGCGCCATCTGCAGTCAGAAATTAGCATAGAGCATCATCTGTTGTTTAAAACTATCCTACAGCGCCATTTGCTGTTAGAAATTAGCCTAGAGCACCATCTGTTGTTTAAAACTAGCCTAGGGCACCATCTGCTGTTAAAACTAGCCTAGAGCACCATCTGCTGTTTAAAAACTATCCTAGAGCGCCATCCGCTATTTAAAACCATCCTAGAGTGCCAAATTGGCCTAGAGCATCATCTGTTGTTTAAAACTATCCTAAAGCACCGTCTGCTGTTAGAAACTAGCCTAGAGCGCCATCTGCTGTTTAAAACTATCCTAGAGCACCGTCTGCTGTTAAAAACTAGCCTAGAGCGCCATCTGCTGTTTAAAACTAGCCTAGAGCGCCATCTGCTGTTAAAACTAGCCTAGAGCACAATATGCTGATAAATTCATGCCTAGAGCACCATCTACTGTTAAAAACTAGCCTGGAGTGCCATCTGCTATTTAAAACTAGCCTAGAGCAGCATCTGCTGTTTAAAAACTAGCCTAGAGCAACATCTACTGTTTAAAAACTAGCCTAGAGTGCCATCTGCTGTCAGAAATTAGCATAGAGCATCATCTGTTGTTTAAAACTATCCTAGAGCACCATCTGCTGTTAAAAACTCACCTAGAGTGCCATCTGCTGTTTAAAACTCGCCTAGAGCGCCATCTACTGTTAAAAACTCACCTAGAGCGTCATCTGCTGTTAAAAAGTAGCCTAGAGCACCATCTGCTGTCAAAAACTTTTAAAATGTTCTTTTTAAATCACGTGTTTAAGAAACGTTGTCCGAAACCTACCTTTGGATACCGTGAGCGCAGGTGACCACTGAGACCGCAGGATGTCCAGACAAATGCTGCCGTTACTGTTAATGTTAGGGTGGTAGATTTTTGTTGTGAACGCGACCTGTAGGTCAAAGCAGAGAGTACTGAGCATTGGAAACCATCACATACATGCCTGTATTAGACTGATGGCCTCAAAACGCAATGAACATCACAGATGGACTGACCTTTGGTGGTTTAAATGGGTAGTCTGTTGGGAAGTGAATCGTGAGGAAGAAAACTCCTCCTTGATATGGACTATCATTCTGAAAACCAATGACATGGTTTTTAATTGTTTATATACAAACAACGGAGACAAATGCAGCTTATAAAAGTTATCCATTCAAGTTATATTTGACTTCCATTTGACTTTCTTGTGTGTTTTATAAACTCTAAATGTATTGCTTTCCTAGTACTTGTCTTTATTTACATGTCTAAAACATAAAATAAGCATTGGGTGGTTAAAAACGCTGCATAATTGTGATAATATGACACGTCTTGCTCTGGCTCAGCACCAGCCAACGCACCAAAGCTCAGTTTGAATTTTTCATGTCATGCTGCTTTTGTTTATTTAGTGTGAAATGCTCCCACACATTGGATGACTAGGATTGCGCAGATTTCTCTGCCTTCGTCATTCATCTTTCCTCTAACTTTACCTGCGCTCGTTTTTTTTACTCTGTCCTATCTGAGGCACTGAATTCTGCTGGTATCAGTGCGGGAGAGAGGCAGAGAGCGCGGTCACTCCGCTCCACGCTCAACAAAAGTTTTTTTTAATAATCAGACGTCTCCACCCCGCGCAACACAACAAATCAATTATAAAATTCGATGCCAACACTTTTGTGATAAATTTTAATCGATTCGTTGTTGCAGCTCTAAATATTTTGGCTTTTGTTGTTATTCAATTGGATCTTCAAATGTACTTTCTTTACAAGAAAGGCTAGAAAATTGTGATGCTCCACATCAGGGGTGTCCAAATTCGGTCCTGGAGGGCCGCTGTCCTGCACAGTTTAGCTCCAACTTCCTTTAACACACCTGCTGGGAGGTTTCTAATATACCTAGAAAGAGCTTGATTAGTCAATAAAAGAGTCTAACTGGGGTTGGAACTAAAATATGCAGGACACTAGCCCTCCAGGACCAAGTTTG